TTTTTTTTTTTTCACTAAAAGTATTTTGCTTTTTGGTTTATTTATTTATTTATTATTTTTCTTCTTCTTCTTCTTCTTTTTCTTCTACTTTACAACATATAGTTAGTGCAAAATACTCTGTTAAAAGAATAGGAGAATACTTTTGCAAAAAAAATGGATGGATATGTTAAAACCTCTAATAGACCTTTGTATTTTTTTTTTTTAGCTAAATATTATGTCTCTTCAAAATTTTGAACCATAAAAGAATTTTTCATATTTTTGTTTTGTTGTTAGCAATAAAAAATATACGATCAAAATGAAATGTGAACATAGCAAATAACAACAACAAAACAAAACAAAACAAAAACACACACAAACACACATCATTTTTAACGAAAAAGCTATGTAAATATTTTGCTAATAAAGTAAATGAATATAGTTTGATATAGTTTTTTGCCCTTTTTTTTTTGTTTTTGTTTTGTATTCTGTTGTTCTTTTTTGATATGATTATTATTATATTTTTATTGATCATAGTTTAAACTGAATGTACTGTTTGGCAGTAGTATAAATTTCCAGTAAATTTGGTGTTTGTTTTTGATAAAATGTATTGGGGAAAAAAAGAATTCTTTCTCTTTTTTTTTTTTTTTTATCACACTTATTCTTAGTGGAATAAAATGGCATTGTTTTTTTTTTTGTTGGTTGATCTTTTGATAACACTGTATTCGATGTTTTATATTTTATTTTATTTTATTTTTTGCAGGAAGATGCAGCATCAGATACATATAATTTTTCTGGTAGTTCAACACCGCATTCAACATTAAGCGTACCACCGGCTTCAGCACGTTTTTCAGCACAAAATTTTGGCCTAAATCATACACATACAATAACTGCACCAACATTTACATTTGATGATGAAACCTTTCAACGAACTGTACATCTCACTGATTCATTATCGGCAACATCTGTTTGTACTTCAGTTGCTGCAGCACAGGTATTTTGTTACTGATTCCATTTATATTATTTTTCTTTTTTTTTTCTGCTTTTTTTTTTCTACTGCTTCAATTTTTATTTTATTCTATTTTTATTTATTTATTTTTATTTTTATTTTTATTTTTAGTTTTTAAACAATTATCAATTCAAATATTGAGTATCTTTTTTCCCACTGTAATTTTAGATAACAATTGCAAAAGGAATTCATTTAACTTTTATTTTTTTTTGCTAATTTTTCTTCTGATTTTTTTTTTTTTGGTACATCTTAGTAAAACTCTAATTTTGTTTTTGTATCATACAAATATTTCAATTTATTTGCTACATAATTTTAGTCAAAAGAAGTTTTTTTGCGATATTTAAGCTAAAAATATTAGGAGGGTTTTTTTTTTTGTTTTACCATGTATCCAATTGTTGTCTTCAGTTTATTTTTATCTTAGATGATCATTGCTCAATGCTTTCATATCATAAGACAACTTCTCTGCGTCAAATCAAATACCCTCCTGTTATTCTTGATACTTTTATTTGAAACCTCACTTATACTGTAACCTTTCTGTAACAGATTATTGGAAATATAACAGATATTTCTATTTCTTTTTTTTGTTGAATTCTGGCAAAAAAAAGATAACGGGAGAAAAACATTGCTATTTTTAAGTGTCAAAATCTGTCTTTTCAACTGCAATCAATTTTTACTTCATTAATTCACTTTCACTTAACTTAGGTTCTGTAACCAACAGTTGAACGGCTACTTTTTACTGCTTTTATTAGATGACTATATTTTAACTTGTTTATTGAGACACATTATGCAGTTTTGTATATTGGAATCTAAAAGAGTTTTGTTTTTGCATTATGTTAAATGCAAACGATCAATTCAACTGCTTAATATTTTTAGCAAATTTTTCAATTTTTTCTGTACGCCTATCTCAGCTACACAAAAACTTCATAAATTGAATAGTTTACCAAATCAGTGTATGCTTGATTTTACAAGTTGATGCCTTCTCGTTTAATTGACGTAATTTTGTCGTAGTCACTTTCATTCAAAAATTTTTACAATTTATATATTTGTTTTTCAAAAATTGTTTTTAGTTTTTTAAACAGTAGGTTTGCGCTTTCAAAAAAATGAATTTTTGCTAACTCTTTGAAAAAAAACCTCAGTTAACAGTTTTTTTATTTTACTGTGAAAAACTGTTTTAGCAGCGTTACAAGAAAGGCGAAGTGGTCACAACTCCCGGGGGTATTAGGAAAAAATTCAATGGAAAACAATGGAGAAGACTTTGTGGCAAAGAAGGATGCAATAAGGTAAGACTGTCTTATATAGGACCAAAACCCTCACTTTGCCGCGTTCATTAGTGATATTTAGTACAGCCAGAAAATCTTTTTCAGGAATCACAAAGACGTGGATTCTGTTCGAGGCATTTATCATTGAAAGGAAAGGCAGCAAGAAATGACAGTAACGTTAACACACCACTTTCAACAAATAATGGAACTACCGGTAAAAAAATTTTTTCAGATATTCTGCAGCCTTATGTTTCTGATAGGTCATTAGATCAGTTGATATCTTATGTTCAGCTTTGTATTCTCAGATATTGTTCTGATGCACTAAATTTTCAGTTAAAAACAATTGTGCTATGGACTGGACACCACAAAATATTTTTACCGATTTTCGTGGTGACGGACGAGTACGACCTATCGAAGAAACGGATGTGGCTAATACTCTACTGAACCTTCGTAATCATCCTGGTGTTCCGAGTAATAGCTTTTTTGTGATTAATTCGCTAATCTGACTGAGAAAAAAAACAAAATTTTCGAAAGTAGTTTTAGTTCTGAAATGTAGGTTCTGGAGCGCGACAACTTTTGGTTTTACCCATAAATTATTTTTTTAACACGGTAATTGTTGAGTTGAAGTAGTCGAATATTAGCAGATTACTTTCCTTAAATTTCAACTTTCACTTTGTCTGCATCTTTCATCGTCGAATTTTTTTGATCCATACTGACAAATGGTATCATCTATCCTTTAAAAACCGCAAACTATCTTTTATGCTTTATTGAGTATAAGAATACGTATTTATTTGATGACGCAGAGTATCGTTGGGAACAGAAGTGAGATGTTACTCAGTTTATGTTTCTAAAACTTTCTTCCTGTTGAGAACGAGGAAAGTATAGGAGAAGTAGGTATTGTCGGAGCAAGCAGATCAACACTTATATACAGTAATGAGAAGGAAGGAATAAATGTTTCTTCAATGAGGGGGTAGGATACGCAGAACAATCGCTACATAAATCATTAATGACAAGTGTTTTAAAGGTTATGATCTGTACTTTTGAAACACTTGTCTTTTTACAGTTACATTTATTAGGTTCAAAAAAAAGCTGCTGGATGCAGGAAGCACTTCTGAGTGACCTGCATCAGTGAAATATTTTCAGGCTTTACAACAAATTTAGCAGAAACTTCGTTTCCCCTATCGGCCCCGCCTCGCTTACAACAGATAACTGCACCCGGTTGTTTGGCCCCAAAAGTACCTAGAAATAGTGCTCCGTCTGATCTTCTCAATTCATTTAATGAAGACTGCGCAAACGAACCAGAAAAAATTTTTGTGAGTTGTCTAGTTCTTCCAGTTAATAAATTTTTCTCAAGGTTATAACTGTTGAAACTTCTTCACGAAATATTCCACTTTATTCCGTTACGATAAAGTTATTATGCAGAAATTTTGTCCTGCCACGGAAAATACCTTTCAGAAATTCCTTGAAAAAGTGCCTTCGTTGGAAAAAAATTTCTTCTAATAATAAGAAAGAAATTGCACAATTCATATTTTTGCTAAAGGCGCAAACGGAATTTAAATCAAAATTCGCCGTTGGATTTTCAAATTCATTGAACCAGAACCCCCGTTCATTATTCTCCGCACTGAGCTTTGCGAGTATTTTTGCCATCTTACCAAAAACGGCAAAAAGAAATCAACTCTGAGAAATTTTTGTTTTTGTGGGGTAAAAATTACCATTCTTTAATAATAATTATTATGAGAACAATAAGAGCGCAACTCGTACTTACTCAGTTCAAAGTTTAAAATTCTTAGGGGTAAGTTCGTTGTTTCAGAATCGTAATGCTCTTTCTTTAAATGACGCCTCTTCAATTTCTTGCGGTTCATCAGCAGAAAATAGCCCTTGCGAAACTAAAGTTTTACATCCGCAGGATCTTCTCCCTATGATTTCAGTTCAGAAGAATTCAAAAAAGGTACTTTTGGAACAACTGCACATCAGAAAACTGCTTTTAGACTCAGAGGAAATCAGCCTGGATATTTTTTTTATTGCCATTAAATTGTCTTTCAAATTTCCTATTTGAGAAGTTTCCTACTAATGCAGTCATTTAGACACTTTGTCTAATAAACCTATTTAGTTTTATTCAATGGACAACAAACCGGATCCAGTAGCTGCAGGTCTCTCGCCAGGAATCCCATTCTTTCTTACTCAAAATTTCGCTCTTTGGGAAACATTTCGCCTGTTATCATCAAATGCTGAGTACATGAACAAAAACGGCATCGGTAGCAACTCGGCAGCTGCAACAACAATCGCAGACATTGTGAACGATTCAAACAATAACGACCGTGACAGCCTATCACGCGGTGAAAATATTGGTAAGTGGTTGCTGCCCAATAAAATCTTTTTCTAAAAAATGTCGCTAGATAATATTATTGTGGCTAAACGAATCTTTTGTTAAATGATTCAGTCAACTAAATATTTGTGGAAGCAGCAATGTTTCTAAAGACTGTTTCAGAAAGACAGGATGAGGATGGTCGAAATGAATGCGGCATAACCAAATCTGACGCATCAACGGCTTCTAACATTGAAAATGCTGCAGAAGTTAGTGAGGATGGGACTATACAGGAGACTTCAATTCCAAAATCATTGCTCTTCCGGAAAGGTTTAGGCACCCTCTTAGACTTGAACAAAGTTCCATTTTCTAAAAATTTGCAAATGACGTAGTCCTCGACTACAGGCAGTTTAATTGGTCATCATTTTCCGGCATAGATTTATGGTTTTAAACGAGCGTTTTTATTTGCTCAGGTGAACTTTTACATGCAATTATTAGCGAAGACGAAGATACATCCTCGTCACAAAATATTAAAACCGGTGATACTGATGAAGAGAGTAGTGCTGCTACACTAGGGGCAATTAAGAAAGGTACCGTAGTCTTGTAATTAGATTATAAAGAATATTTCTCAGTGATAGCTAAATTTCTCGTTGTTTATGTCTTTTTTTTTCTTTTGAAATGTTAACTTGTAATGCATCTTATATACCGTTATGTAAATCTATGTGTTTTTTGTATTTTTACAGAATCAAAATTACGTCCAACAGTTCCGTGGCACAAGCTAGTGCCGCATTTGCAAATGAAAGTTTCTGAGGGTGTCGGTAAAGGAGGAAGCGACAGCAATTCAAATGTTGCACAGAAAAATGTAATGTTTTGGTAGTTTTACAGTACCCTCAGAAAAACGTTCATTAATGAGTTTAGTTCTTATACGCTAATAGATAAGTGTGTGACTGTTTTACCGGTTTAACAAAGAGATTAGAAAGAGTGATAATTTTAAAGCATCTCATAAAAATTAAGAAATTTATGGCATTAGAATGAACGATAAAAGAGTAAATTCACATGCTTCAATTTTTACTTTGAGTTTTTTTACAGTCAGGGATACTTAAACAGTTTATTCGCTTCGGATCAAGAATAATTTCTGCCATAAAACCATAATTTTCTGGGAATATTACTTTTATACAGTCGTTTTTGGAACTTAATGAGTTATAAAGCCGCTGTTTATTTGTTCTTTCGGTACCAAATGATTAAGCCATAAACAAAACACTGCCTTACTTCTAGTTATCGCAAATCTCCAAGTTTAGAGCCAAAATGGACTTGGTTCGTCTGCATCTAGCCCGGATAAGAATGGAAAAGGTAATGGGTCAACTTCAAATGATGGTCATTTAAATACTGGAACCGTTGAGACCAGTGGACAAGTATTATCGCATACAGTCACTGATACTGCAATGCAACTAAATCTTGGTGGCAGTTTTGTGAACAGCAATGGAAACTTGTTGAGTCATGCAGACGTATCAGCTGCAGGCAATATTAAAAGCATGGCAAATTTAACTAGTAGCTCGTACTGGGAATCTTCGGTAGACACTTGCAAAGATACTAAAGGTACAAAAAACCGAAAACCTTTTGAGGACTGCACTTACAGTGGCAAGAGAAAAAGGTAATAATTATGTTTCTGCGTTATAAGTACGCTTTTAAACTGATTATGTTTGGAATGACGCAGCTTTGTATTTTAGCGACTGCACAGATGCTCCTGATTTTGAATCGTTTGAAGGAAATGGTGATAGCGAGGCGCAAAATTTGAGTGAAAATCCGTCGAATTTCCCAATCAATGGTATTGCTTTTTACAATAAAATTTCCTACTTTGAAATTTTTATATATTACGAAAACTAAATTTTTTTTGTATCTATTTGCTGTTAAAGAAACGTTTTTAATTTTTCTAACCATACTAAGAAACTGTTGGCGATTGCGATGATGAAATAATCTTGTGTGAAGACCATGGGCTAAGATCAAACAGAGAATCAAGGTTCTTTTCGCCAACTGGTCCCGCGTCGGATAGAAATGTAATTTTTCTTTAGCTAGATGCCTAAAACTGCTTATTAAAAGGATAGCGGCTTTGTTAAAAACATTCTTCTAGCTGGCTATGAAGTTCCGTAAAATATTCCTTTTTTTTTTTCTTTTTCAACAAAATTGCAGCTTATCTAATTTGATTGGTCTCTTAAAGGTAGGTGATCATATTCGACGCCCAATGAATGCATTTATAATATTTGCTAAAAGGAATCGCCCGCTAGTTCAGGAAAGATGGCCGAACCGGGACAACCGGGCTGTTTCAAAAATACTCGGTCAGTGGTGGTATGCTTTAGGACCCGAAGAGAAGAGGAAATATCACGAGTTAGCGACCCAGGTTAGCAATTTCTTGAGTTTTTAACGTCGTTTGGAAAAAAAAGATGAAGTTCTGCGATCTTAAGGTCACGGAAATTCATCTTTTTTTTTGGTTTTGATTTTTCAAGATATTTTTAGTTGCCTTAATTTCGTTCTTCATTTTAGGTAAAAGAAGCACATTTTCGAGCACATCCTGGATGGAAATGGTGTAACAGAGAGAGGAGGAAAATATCTAGTGAAAGCAGAAAAGAAAGTCTGTTATCCGTTTTTGACGACATCCATCTGTCTAGTCTATTTGTTTTCCACTTCCAGTCGTAGTTACAAAAGAAAAAGTAGTTACAAAAAAACTGTTTTAACTTAAAGCATCGCCTTTTGCATATTTGTAGACAAACGCCAGCCGCGGCGGCAGCAGCAGCGAGTTAGTTGGTAGTAAATACGCATATCTTATGCGTCACTAATACTTTTAGCTTAAAGGAAATTTATGACTTTTTAACAAATGAAATTTTTTTAGATGAAGATATTTTTCTTTCTCAAGAAGTTCATTATCCGGTACTGGCATTAGCCGAGAAGCTTGAGGATGACTCCGTTAGCACGTCTCGCGTGTTACCTTCTACCGTGAAAACCGAAGAATTGGTACGGTTTAGTTTTGAACTTGTGTCTTTTATCATTACCTTCTTTTTCTACCGCATTTCAGTAACTTTACCGTGGCGGTCGTTAGAACTAATTAGATTCTATTTGTAAGATGTGGTTTTTAAAAAAATAATAGTTGCTTTAGAAATTTACTTCTGTCACATTTCATTCTAGAATTTGAAACAATTCTCTGCTCCCTTTGTAAAGGATGGTCCTCTGAAATCTCCTGCACGTGCTATGGAAATCAGATCTCCTTGTCTCCAATCAGAGTAAATTATTTGCCTACACGATTGTTACATTTACATGAAACTAGCAAATATTCTCATTCTTTTTGGAAAATTTTTGTATTTTTTCAAGTTTTAACTTCTTTATATTGACAGGAACATTAAAATTTTAATGACAGCTTTTTCAAATGGAGTTTTGTGAGCTGTCTTCTTGATTAATTTAACTACTCTTGGTTTTCAGTGCATATCTAAAGAGCTTTTAAATGTAAAAAACTGATTAAAGCAGAAAAAATTTAAAGGATAGGGATAAAGAGCTGTTTGTTTAACTGGGAAAGTTTTTTTAGAGCTACCGGAAACTCACCAAAAATCTATGGCTGTTCTGCAAGCTATAATAGCGAATTTGAGGTATGAAGTTTCTTATAATTATTTCTTCTTTGTGAAAACTTTATATTTGCCTATTTTATAGCATATGGTTCCGGCTTCACAGGAGAAACAGCAGTGCAATGTTGGTGGATTTTTAGCGGAAAGCGGTAATCCTTTGGTGAAGACTGAAGAAAAAACTTATTTGGAAAGGTTTATTCAGCAATTTCTGTGGCATTTTGTTCGGTTTATTAGATATTGAACTAAATTTTTGTACTTACGACTTTTTTTTACCTTGTAGAGGGATAATTTAAGTACTGTTTAGCTCTGCGACTCAACCTTATCTTGCTTCAAAAACTCTTAAAGTCGAAAAGGACTGTCACAGTGAAGAATCAGTTATTGAAAAATTTGTTTTAATGCCGACACCAGCACAAAGAGGTATTGTGAAAGAACGACGAAGGACGTATGAAGATTACAGTGAAGGTAATTATGGCTGAAAAAATCTTGTATTTCTTTGCTTCTTTGATATGGCTGCAGATGTATTTTTCGTACGGTATAATCAGCACGCGGCTATACTAAAATAGCTTCTGGATTGTGGTTTATTTATTCAAAAAAATTAGTCCTTTTTTGCAGCAAAAAATTTTGAGGAGAGCAGTCGTCTAGAAACCGGTAGTGATCAAACTGGTGAAAAGGTTAGTTTTTTCTGTTTAACAGTAATGCATCGTTTAGATTTACTACTTTTTAAGGTTAAGAAAGTCATTAGCATTAGTTCTCATTAAATTTCACTTGAAAAATATGCGTCATAACGTATTTACTGCTTGGTCGGGAAAATCGGCAACTGCAGGAAGTTCCAAATCTTGTTCTCTTAAGCCTTTATTAATTATTAAACTTTTTTTTTTCGAATTTATTTCAAGTCCTCTAAAGAACGGTTGTTATCTTAACTACTTAATGGCACACTGTCTCTCTCAGTGTGATTTTACTGCACCTGTAGTATTATGACCAAGAAACAGTTTAATTAAAAAATCATCTACTGCAAGAAAAGTTACTGTTGTAATCCTTTTTCTTCTTTTGCTTGTTATTGTTTTGATCATGTTTTTAAGTGGTTACTCAGCATTTCAGTTCCTTATCTACACTACTTTGAAATCTTTATCTTAGGTGCCAGAGAACAGTTCATTGGGGTGTGAAAAAAATAGTGCAGACGCTAATATTCTTGTAGAAAAGGCCTGCAAAGAGTCTAAAGTGATGCTAAAAAGTCCTACAAAAAAACTTTTCAAGAGAAATGATGAGAATATGGACCGGTAATTTTTTTTATAATCATACTTAGAGAAATATCAAGTAAAGAATCATAAGTTAAATGCAGAGGTGAATTTCTAACTTTTCTTTTTCAGCGTTCTTAATCAGCTCGACTTTGAAGAAAAGTTTGCTTGTTTGCCTGCTTTTTCACCAGAAGATACTATAAAAGGTTTCTTTCCTTGACCAGTTTATTAATTCTGCTCATTTTATAATTTTAATTATTTTTTGTCTTTCTGGCTGATGAGTCGCTAGTTTCAGTTTCGGGAGATGCCTACAGTGCTTTACAGAACACTTATTTCTTTGGTGCAAATTTCAGTCCGTCAGCTGTTTACAATTCCGTCAGTGTTTTTTATTAAAGAAAGAATTTCTTCGGACTTAAGGAATTACTTGCCAACTTTTTTCCGTCTTCTTCAATAGAGTTTCTCCTCTTCTGTTGCAACCTCTACTTTTGGCTTCACAGCTGTTTCTTTGACCAACTTAATTTATTAATAGTCAGTATATATCATTTTCTGTGGAAGTTAATTACTATCTGTAGTGATGAAAGTAAGTGGGGAAGGTTAATTTGAAATGCATTTAGGTTAATGAATTGAATTTACAAATTCACCTTTTGCACACTAAACATGTACATGGTTTAGATAAGACAAAGTAAGGAGGACCTGAAGAAGCCTTCTTCGTTATACAGTCCTCAAACACCGTCAGAGAAAACTGGTGAGAAGTCAGTAAACAGGAAGCTACTGGATCATAAACGCCAGTTAATAGTTGAATTTTTAGAGTCTTACGGGATGTTTCCATCTGGTTAGTTGCTGTATAGTTAGTTTTTCCACTTTTGTTAATTTAGATTTATTGTTGGTTGGGAGGTTTTACATGTCAGATTGTTGATGCTGTCGTTCCTAAAGCAAATTAATTTTAGGGCACTCAGTATCTGCATTTCAAAGCAAAAATAAGCAGTATTTTCCAAATAAACAAAATTTGACTTTGAAAATACGTGAAGTTAGGCAGAAAATGATGGCAGTGGTACAGTCTCCGATAACTCCAAATGGTTGGCTTATTAAACGTATTGAGTTCTTCAATTTCGTAAAGTGAAATCTTTTCTGCACTCTTAAATGCTCTTGGGTATCTCTCTAGCAAGACACCGAAGGTTTTTTTCAAAGCGTGCCCAGCGATTTTTGGACAAACTGTTGGCTCGTCAATTAGTTAAAACCCAAATCTTATCAGTTTGTCTTCAATTGTGTTAAAATTCTGTAGAGATAAAGGGAACTCAAGTTTTCTTGGTATTACTCTTTGTAAGTTTATTTTAGAAGGGCTTGTTGTGAATGTTGACTTCTGTAAATGTTTGCAGGTTTGTTAGAAGGTGTGTCTTCATTGCCTTCACCCTCAATGTTAAATCGGACGGACAGAGCACTATATATGTCTTCGAACCCAATAGAGACATCTTACAAGGTTGTAGTTACTTCACAATAAAGGCTGACTAGAGAAGGAAAAGGAAGAGAAGAAGCTGAGACATGCTCATCTTCTCTTATATTTTGGAACTCTTGTAATAATTTGTCTGATAGTTCCTATTCATAAAAATTTCACGTTTTTTGTTTATGTAAATGTAATAGGCTTCTTGACGAACTGCGGTGAAAAAATTTTGATCTTTGTGCGTAGTTGTATGCATTTGCTTGTGTACTTCTTTGTGTTCAAATTTTTATTTCATTATACAAGACTAATGAGCTACAAGACTGTATAACTTTTACTAAGTAGAGTGATATAAGAGAATGATTTAGACTTAGGTTTTTGCACTTTGAGATCTGCTGAGGTAAAACTTTCCTCTCCTGTTTTTTTTCTTTTGTCTTCTGTCTTTTTCGAGGAGGGTGGGAAGAGGCTAATAACATTGTTTAATTTTGTAAGTTTTTTCGTTTCTTGACATTTTGTATGCGCACTTAGAGTTTTTGGTTAATTTTTTTGTACCCGCCGTCATCATTGTGGCCGTCATTGTATAATAATTTATACATACAAATTTTTCAGTTTTATAGTACATTTAATATTTTGTAGCGTGCATTGTGTGACTGATTGAGCGGTTCCATCATTCCAATTTTTTTACTTTTCATTCTTCTAATTTTACTTCCTTTTCTTCCTACATTTTTCAAGAATAGTAACCTGGTGCTTTTAGATATTTGTTGGTGATTTAGAGTAACTGACCAATTGTACGGAAGTTACGAAAGTACAGGGACGAAAAATTATAGAGGATGAACGGTGTTCATTTATCTAGGCAGCGCAGAGCAATGCACTTTGGGAAGTAGTTTTTAGTGCTTTTTTTTTCCAGCTTTTCTTTTTCTTTTATTCAATTCTTCCTTGTTGTGGCAATTCTTCTACATTTCAGGTCATGTTTTAGTTAGGGAAAAAACAGCAAATATCTCCTTTAGTTTTTTTCTTTAGAGCAGCAGGTTTTTTTTTTTTTTTCTTATTTTATATTCAGATCAATTGACAGAACTTTGTGTTTACTTTTTTTTAATAAATTAGAGTTCGTTATTATTTTTATTTTTGTTTTTATTTTCACTCTAAATTTTTTTTGTTTTTGTTATTATTAATAATGATCTGCAGCCCCAAAACAACCATTCTGCTACAGAATAGAAAATGCTTCTTGTCGTTGTTGTTATTGTTGTTGTTGGTATTTTTGTTGAAGTTGACAGATGACAACATCTATAAGTGACGAAAAAAAAAAAGTTAAGAAGTCAGTGATATGTTGAAATAGAAATTAAGAAGAATTTAGTGGTGGGACGATTGGGTATATTTGCAGTGTGATTTTTTGTTTCTGTTTTTTTTTTTTTTTGCAACTAAAACACAACGGTAGTTTCAGGTAGTCATCGTTTAAGATCGTTTGATAGCGGAATTGGTAAGCCAGTAGCTGCTTTTTTTCTCAGGGAATTTCAGGAAAAAATACTCAAATTTTATTTTTACCTTTAATTATATTTTCATTTTCAAATTATTTATTTTGTTTGTGTTTTTTTCTGATGTGTTTACTTCTAATTTATTTCGTAAATATTTCTCGGGTATTTGTCTTTTTTACTTTTTCAAAAAAAAAAAAAATTTTTTTTTTTTTTGTTTTTTTATCCTCCCTCACTCTATCATCATTTTTTTGGATCCCTAGAAATATCGGGTAAACTAACTTATTAGAACATTTATTCTTAATTTTTTTTTTTTCTTGATTACCACAGTTTTTCCAAAAAGGGTTTGCACGTTGTCTTTTATTGTTTTAAACAATAACTTTGCTTCACAAATTTCTTCTTGCAAGAAAAAAAACAACACTTACCTTAATATCGAAAAAAAAAAAAAAAAA